TTGGGGTAAAAACGCTCAAAATTCTGTTGTATTTACATGTAGGCTATTTCCTCCCCAAAAACGGATGATCTTTGCCTAAATCTGCCAAAATTTGAGTGTTTGAATATTAATTCATGCTCCACGCCCCTCAAGAGGAATTTCTGCGTTGTTTGGAGAAAAGTCATTTTTGGCCAAATTTTGATAAAAATGTAAGGCTAACCCCTTGTTTTTTCCCCGAATTTTAGCCAAAAAAAAAAATTCTTGAAACTTGCAGGTAAGATGCCTAAGGTAACCCTGAACACACTTCAATTCGATTGGGGAACAGATGTGCCTTTGAAAAGTAAATTTGGCCGATAATTTTGGCAAAAAAAGTCAAAATTATTATTTCTTATTTACTGACTTTCCTTCCCCCAAAGCGGACGATATTTGCCTCGTTCTGCCAAAATTTGGGTGTTTGAATATTGATTCATGCTCCACGCCTCTTAAGAGGAATTTCTGCGTTGTTACGAGAAAAGTCATTTTTGGCCAAATTTGGATAAAAATGTAAGGCTATAAACCCCCCCCCTTTTTTTTCCTTCAATTTGAGCCAAAAAATGAAATTTCTTGAAACTTGCAGAAAAGATGCCTAAGGTAACCATGAACACATTCCAATTCGATTTTGGAACAGATGTGCCTTTGAAAAGTAAATTTGGCGGATAATTTGGGCGATAATTTGGGTAAAAAAGTCAAAATTATAATTTCTTATTTACTGTCTTTCCTTCCCCCAAAACGGACGATTTTTGCCTAGTTTTGCCAAAATTTGGGTGTTTGAATATTGATTCATGCTCCACGCCTCTCAAGAGGATTTTCTGCGTTGTTTGGAGAAAAGTCATTTTTGGCCAAATTTTGATAAAAATGCAAGGCTAACCCCTTGTTTTTTTTTCAATTTTAGCCAAAAAATTGAAATTTCTTGAAACTTGCAGAAAAGATGAAAAGGTAACCCTGAACACATTTCAATGTAATTCGGGAACAGATGTATCTTTGAAAAGTAAATTTGGCTGTAAATTCGGGGTAAAAACACTCAAATTCTGTTTTATTTAAATGTAGGCTATTTCCTCCCCCCAAAACGGATGATTTTGGCCTAGATCTGCCAAAATTTGGGTGTTTGAATATTAATTCATGCTCCACGCGTCTCAAGTGGAATTTCTGCGTTGTTTGGAGAAAAGTCATTTTTTGGCCAAGTTTTGATAAAATTGTAAGGCTAACCCCCTTTTTTTTTTTCTCAATTTTAGCCCAAAACGAAATTTCTTGAAACTTGCAGAAAAGATGGCAAAGATAACCCTGAACACATTCCAATTCGATTTAGGAACAGATGTATCTTTGAAAAGTAAATTTGGCTGAAAGTTTGGGGTAAAAACGCTCAAAATTCTGTTGTATTTACATGTAGGCTATTTCCTCCCCAAAAACGGATGATCTTTGCCTAAATCTGCCAAAATTTGAGTGTTTGAATATTAATTCATGCTCCACGCCCCTCAAGAGGAATTTCTGCGTTGTTTGGAGAAAAGTCATTTTTGGCCAAATTTTGATAAAAATGTAAGGCTAACCCCTTGTTTTTTCCCCGAATTTTAGCCAAAAAAAAAAATTCTTGAAACTTGCAGGTAAGATGCCTAAGGTAACCCTGAACACACTTCAATTCGATTGGGGAACAGATGTGCCTTTGAAAAGTAAATTTGGCCGATAATTTTGGCAAAAAAAGTCAAAATTATTATTTCTTATTTACTGACTTTCCTTCCCCCAAAGCGGACGATATTTGCCTCGTTCTGCCAAAATTTGGGTGTTTGAATATTGATTCATGCTCCACGCCTCTTAAGAGGAATTTCTGCGTTGTTACGAGAAAAGTCATTTTTGGCCAAATTTGGATAAAAATGTAAGGCTATAAACCCCCCCCCCCCTTTTTTTTCCTTCAATTTGAGCCAAAAAATGAAATTTCTTGAAACTTGCAGAAAAGATGCCTAAGGTAACCATGAACACATTCCAATTCGATTTTGGAACAGATGTGCCTTTGAAAAGTAAATTTGGCGGATAATTTGGGCGATAATTTGGGTAAAAAAGTCAAAATTATAATTTCTTATTTACTGTCTTTCCTTCCCCCAAAACGGACGATTTTTGCCTAGTTTTGCCAAAATTTGGGTGTTTGAATATTGATTCATGCTCCACGCATCTCAAGTGGAATTTCTGCGTTGTTTGGAGAAAAGTCATTTTTTGGGCCAAATTTGGATAAAAATATAAGGCTAACCCCTTGGTTTTTTTTTTTTCAATTTGAGCCAAAAAATTTAATTTCTTGAAACTTGCAGAAAAGATGCCTAAAGGTAACCCTGAACACATTCCAATTCGATTCGGGAACATATAGAAAACACAGTTTGCTTTAAAAGAAAGACTGGGGACCAGCTTAAAAAAAAAAAAAAAAAAAATGGCCCTATTTCCGGCCGGGTTTTTTTTTTTTTTTTTGGCCCCTCCTTATGTCGATAACAAGTAGAGATTGACTCTCCTGTTTTGCGGTTTAAACGTGTATTTCATTTTGTCTTTTAATTCTAATCCCCATATCAAAACTCAATCCATTTTTGACATTCACACAATGCATAAGATGATAGAGTTCTTATTCGTTTTACTCCAGACACAATAACAAACTCTAATGGAATTAAAATCAATACAAAGACAAGATGATGATAAATAAAATATCAGTATATAAAACAAACCTGAAATGGATTGGTGGTTGAACACTAAAATTTACAGTATTAGAACTTAAAAAAGCGTTAAGACCACAAATGAAATTGATATTGAGTTTTTACAATCAAACCTCAATACTAAGAACACCTAAGGCCAAAAAAAAGTATCCGGTTTCTGGTCTGGAGCTTGCCCAAAAAGTGGTGCGGCTACGTTTTTTTGCTTCAAATGTCGGCTGACGACTGCAAATGGTGCCCGACTAAACTTAGTGCAAATATTATGGGAGACCAGAGAGGCCACATAAAGCTTATTCTCGATCATAACCCCATCTAAAAACACGTTAAAATTGTGCAGCAGCAGGATTCTAGTCAAACCAGTGAGTTTGGCGGTTTTGAGAGATCATCTTTCATTGAAAAAAAACCTTTTTCATTTTGCCGACGCGCATGGCTACGGCGACGCGCGCGCATACCAGAAACCGGAGACTTTTTTTTTTGGCCTAAGATCATATAGTGATTCCTAGTTATGTTTTTCTGAAGATAATATTGCTCATTTGTAGAGATGGTAAACTCTCTAACCAAATTTTTCCGACACTCATGAATATTAAACTTATTTTACTATTTGGTGAATATTTACTTTCATAACGCAACCATTAATATCTCAAAGTGCTTCCTACATAATTTTACCAAGCCTTGAAGACACTCAATTGAAAAACAAACAAACAAAACAACAGAAGTAACTACAAAAGCATTGTAACTCAAGAGTTTGGGAATCAAGTTAAAGCACATTGAACTTTTCACGTGATGCGTTTGGAATAAAACGACCCCTGAATAAGATTTCAAACAAAAATTTCAATTGTTACAGCCAGTGAGCTGGATGTGGTGACATATCACAATATGGTCATTCAGTTGACGAGCTAATCGAGATAAATGCACCCTTGAATTTCTCTTCAATTACAACAAAAGAATTAAAACGCGTATTATAGGCATATTTACACAAACAAAAATAAGGCATGGCTTCCGCAATATTAAAAAAAATAGGTATAGGCCTTCACATCAAAAGAAGTAGCACTTAATGATGAAGCGACAGGGGGGGGGGGGATCCCCCTACCCCACCCCACCAAAAAACAGCAGCCTCGGTTTCATTACTACATTGGTGTGACTATAGGGTGAGTCAAAAAGAAAGTGACCTGGATTAATGATTTTTTTTTCTTAAAAATCAATCAAATGTGATACCCCAATGGTCTTAATATATAAATTATGAATGTTTGTGAGTGCAATGGTAAGAATAATTTCATGAGGTGACAGATGAAATGTTCCATTCCACGAGGCGAAACCACGAGGCTTCGCCTCGTGGAATGGAACATTTCATCTGTCACCGAATGAAATTATTCTTTCCATTGCACGAACGTGAAACATTCATTATTTGTTTTATATAACACCTGAATAAATCCTTGCCATCTGATTGGTTGACTTTTAATAGCCAATGTATTCAGGTTAACGACTGTTTAAAAGTTCGACAAGTTCATCATATTTATATTAATGCAAACTGTTCAACAGGTTGAGAACAATCATATTCAATTATCTCGATTTAAAACAACGCCACCACCGGCAGCAGTGACACCGTGCAATGGAAGTTCTATTCACCGCGCGTTGGTATGAATAATTCATTGACATGTGATCAACGATCCACCAATCAGATGACGGGGATTTATTCAGGTGTTGTATAAAAGAGAATGAGCTTTACTCATCTGAAGAAAAACAAAGTGCTGAAATTGATTCATGCTATCAAGAAGTAAATGCATGTTTTACTAAAAGAACCTATTTTTATAGCTGTCCATGGAATGTCATTGGAAGCTACTGAGCCGAGTGAGAATTACAGCTGACACACACGCATTCAAATACTAAGGGGATTTTAATCATTTGAGTCAAGACTGAAACATTATTTTTACTGTTAGATCTTGTGTTTTGAATATGAAGTCAACATTGATGGCGATTTTGGTTTATTTTCATGCGCGAGTTTTCGTTCGTTCATGGATGTGCGAAAATGTCCATGTTTTATTGTATGTAATGGGTAGTCATCAGTTTGTCATCAGTGGAGGTCAGTTTCAATTTTGAGATATTTTTGTTATTATTAAAATACACATTACTTGGAAATCGAGTTTGCAAATTACGAGAAATGTTCATAGTTACTAGTGGGCGAGCGAAATGTGTTTTAAATATTTTTCTAACTCTGATCAGTCATTTTCTATTCCACTCACTCTGTAAATCTAAATATTTTCTTCAACCTTAATTAAAGGCCCTATCTTGTTGTATTTAAAATTAGTACTGTCGCACGTAGATGTTAAAGTCGGTGTTTGAAGTCATCTCGATATCCTCCGATGTTTGGCTGTAGAGGTGACACTGGCCCAGGACTGCTGCGAACTCGAAGGACAAACAACTGGCATGTTTCAGACAGTAGAGGGCGCATCGAGTGAGAGATGACGCCCTCTTTGTCGACAGGGGGTCAGGGTTAACAATGGAGCCTCCCTCGTACCACTTCCTAAAGTAGGCCAAGTTTGTATCAACGGCAGGTTCTGAGGGGGAAAAAAGCGGTGTGGTCGAATAAAAATCGGATGGTACCCGTACGGTGATAATAATTTGCCAGATTTGCACCAATGATGTGCATCGGGTCGGGCTGACCAGGCCAAACCGACCCGAAACATTAGAGATATAAACCGGATCCGAACCGAAACCGATCTTAACTCCCTCAAACCGACCCGACCCAATCCGACAAAAAATAAGGTAAAACCGACCCGAACCGAAAACAATTATTTTATTGAACAATATTATATTAATATGAATATTATTGAACAAACGCATAGTATCACGCGGTATCATAAAAACTATTACAATATATCTATTTCACTGTCAGTCCTGATCCGACTGGAGAAATTAATACCTTGGGAACATGATAGTGCGCTCGGTGGCAACACCACACCATGGGCTGCGGTCACAGTGTCTGTCAGTAATATTGCATCACCTAAATTTCTCACTGTTTGGGTTTATTTCGGTTTATTTCAGTTTTTTTCAAAAAATGGCTAAACCGACCCGACCCGACCCGAAAATGAAAATGCGAAACCGACCCGACCCGACTGAAAAGATGAACAAACCGACCCGACCCGACCCGAAGTCGGTTTCGGGTCGGGTCAGTTTCGGTTTCGGGTCGGGTTTGCACATCATTAATTTGCACCTGGCAGCATCAAGTGAATCACTTTTTTGTCGGGGAGATTCAAATACAAAACAGACCCGCCCACTGTGCACGTGGCAAAACACACGTGCCCCTCTCCTCTCTCCCCTCTCCACACTGCACTGTGTTTGAGAATATGCGCACGTCGTCTTCATGTGCACACATGCTGGACTTTAGTGTGCGCATGTCGGACATCATTCACGGCTGTGATTGGTCCATTCATGATGGGCGTGGCTTAATAATTGATTGGTCTAGCTTGCCCTACCATGCGAACCCCGTACCAACATGATCAACAAAATACATACGAAGTATGTTACACCAATGGTCATTGATAGTTCATTGCCAATTCAGATTTCATCAAATGAACAGTGCACACTGCCTTGACCAATTAGACCACGTCAGGTGTGGCCGCAGTCAAACTCGGGTCAAACTCAGTCACAAGCAATGGGAGAAAATGTAAACCAATTATGGGCGGAGATTACAGAATAATCAAGACATACCGACAAATACACGGACAAACAGACAGACGAAGTCTAAAATGGATAAAAATGTTTGTTCATACCGGTGGCACATTCCTCAGCCGTGTACACCTCGACTTCCACCTCGGCAATCTTTAGAGTAGGGGCGGTGACGCCGGGCTGGGATGGGTCGATGTCCAGGGTGATGTAGCGGGCATTCCGCGGTACGTCGCACGGGAACTTGCTCACCGCGCCCGGGGTGGACTGCGCTGCTGTGCCCGGTAAGCCGCACGGTTGGTTGTTGGTGTAGTTGGGGCTGAGCCCGGCGCGAATGACCGTGCCAAGGAAACACGGCTGTGGGCCTTCAAGGTCAAAAAGTGGGAAACAAAATGAAATAACGCAAGAAAAAAAAATTGGTAAGGAATAAGCTGCTCTCTACAAGTCTTTGTTTTGTTAGGAAGAGGAGATGGAAAAATAATACCTCCTTTTATTTACCAAAAACTGTTCTTGAAATGTTCATATTCCGGATGCTGCAATAACATTTATGCAGGGATGTAAGCGGTCTCCGACATTTTGCCTGAAATTCAAGATAAGTACACAGTCGTATATTTTGCCGATATACAGGATGAGTAAAAAAAAGCGGAACCCAAACCCCCAAAAATGTATTTCATATTTAAAAAAAATATGTAGCACCAAAAATTATGACTGGAAAGCAAATTTCAAAAGCTACTTGTAGATGAAAAAAATACTGAAACTGCTCAATCTGTTCAAAGAATACCACCATTTAAACGCATTGACCCTAAAACCTGTCTCGTCAAAAAAAAATCAATTTATTGTGTGTTTTGACTGTTGGAACAACGAAGAAAATGACACGGAATACTTGTTTCAACAACTGTCACCAACTGTAGCACACAATATTTTGATTAACAACCCTGGCAAACAATATAGGATTTACAAAATCTACTTTTTTATAAGACGGGCCTTCAAAAGGACTTTTTTGCATATTGTTCACGTTTAAACTAAGATTTCATCGCTGGTGATGTCTGAAGACAATTGTCACGACGATTGTTGAAATGCATTTTTTGGACGAGACAGGTTTTAGGGTCATTGTGTTTAAATGGTGATACTTTTTTGACCGGATTGACCAATTTCAGTAATTTTTTCATCCAAAGGAAGCTTATGAAATTGGCATTCCAGTCATAATTTTTGGTGCTAAATATTTTTGTTAAATATGAAATATAATTTTGGGGGTTTGGGTTCCGCTTTTTTTTTTACTCACCCTGTATGTTAAATACTAACAGTTTGAGAAAGCCTAACATCACCCAATTAAATAATAACAGTTTGAGAAAGCCTAACATCACCCAATTGATTTAAAGCCTGAATTTGCATTTGCAGCCCTGTGTGACAGAATTTCAAGTTGGCGTTGAAGCTGATGGCCACAGTGCTGTCTTTTGTTGAGAGGTTTAACAAAAACCAAAGGTCCTTAATTCATACAATGGCCTAGCACTGAGCTCCTCGTTTTCAATAATGTGAAATTTGTGCGAAACGCATTGCCAAGATGGCTGCCATCCAAATTGCAAAAATAAGTTGGGGGGGGGGGGACCCCTTGCAATGATTGTGAGCTGAAAGTAGTATTATGCTTACCGCAGCCTGAGTCGCGTAGCGTGATGGTCACCCGTCCCATGCAAACCTCCTCTTGCAGATCAACTCTCAACACAGGATGTGGGTCACCACCTCCTATGATCAGAGTAAAAGTACCATTCTGTTTGCTCAACAGGTTTTTCCTTTGCTTTATTTGGGAGTCGGTTTTGGTCCAATTATAGGTACTCCTTGCACGAAGGATTATTTTCAATTACCTTGAAACATACCTACCGATTTAACGAGAAATCCTTGCTCATACAAAGTGAAGATAGGGCCAGGGGTGAGATTATCAATTTTTACCAAAAAAAAGTCTGAAAATTGATGAAAGGTCTGAAAGATGCATATCGTTGATTCAAAGATTCAAAGAGTCTGATTTCAGCCAAAGGTCTGAAAAAAAATCTGATGCCTGGAAAGGACTGGCACCAAATACCATCTGAAGTATTTCCACCTGAAACAATGTTGAAGGTGGTTTAAGAAAATGTGCCCACGGGCAGTTTTTTTTTTTTACGTGCATTAGCAATTGAATCCAGATACGTGACCCCGAAAATGTACATACGTCGTCTGTGTTTTCTCAACAATATATCAACTTAGCTGATACTTTAACAGATAGTTGTTATGTTCCATTCTTAAGGTTTCAAGCAATTTCGTGGCTTAACGCGAAAAAAACAATGCACAAAAGGCAAATAATCCCAATATACCTTAAACGAATATCGCAAAAAAAAAATAACACTACAAAAAAAAAATTCTGCACACTTTTTAAAAACCATCTTTGATTCTTGTTTTCTTCCGAATGATACTATTTCAGGCAGAATAACTTCACAGGGTATTTTGGTGACAGCTCTATCTTTACTTTGAGCGGAGTCTTCCCATAAAATCAGTAGATTCCTCCGTGTCTTTTATTCAGGCTGAATTAAGAACACGTAGGAATAAATTATTCATGTATCCTAAAGATATTGAAAGAAAAAAACAATATCCTTCCAAGTTTTACGGCAAATTTACGCCATTTGGTTTTTCATGTACAGTGGAAAGAACATATGCTCTTATTCAACACGATAACCTATGTAGATATTGTGGGTAAAACAATGTTGACCTCTCCAAATTGATTACGAATGCGCATTAAAAATAGTCTGTCACTCAGTAAGACAAGGTATATTGCAAGTTTCATTCATAACGTTACAATGCCATGGTCTTACCGTTGTGAGCGATGGTCGCAAGATTACCGTCGACAGCGTTTCCCGCAAGAAAGCTGGTATGTGTAGTGCTCAGCCACGCTGGCTTACCAATGACAGAAAAAGCTGAAAAGATAAAAGCATTTCGATTGCCATACGGGGAGAGATTTTGTGAACACTTTTGTAATTGGGTAAGAATTGGGTATGACAATTTGGCCTTGAAGGACCGTAGCAGGTCATAAGCTGACCAAAAACTGTCTCAGGTCGTAAATCAGTAAAATATACCTGTAATCAGACAAAAGTCACTAATTCGTTTTATTTGTATATTTTTGGAAAGAGAAAAATATTGTAAACATTTAAATAAATGTGAATATTATATATCATTTTACTTCGTTAAAGTACTTTGAGCGTCATGTTCGAAACGGTTGAGTTATGCTTTTATTTCTGTAGGATTACACAACACAGTTTTCATCAGTTGCTATGTAACTTGTCTTCTGGAGTTGTCCTTAGTCGCGCATTGTTACTTGCGAAAATGCGCGCTATAAATCGTTATTATTACCGTTCAGCACTCCAGACTCAAGAACCATTGAGTTTCAAAAACATAGGCCGGGGAGCTAGACACGCAAATGTAAAAATATTCCCTATGGCGGCTGCTTTATTCAGCTAAAATTCTTGGTACGTTGTGTTTAAAAAAGTCAAACCCTCCCGCCTGTTTCCAAGATCTGCCCTTGTTTCAGACGGAGAGTTAAAAAGATGCAAAACAAAACAAAAAACCCTCACCTGTTAGCTGACACATAGCAAGCTGACAGCACATCACCTGCAACACCACAACCAAGATGTAAGCGTCCATTTCGCTGCGCACAGCTAGCTCCACAGACAAATGACTCCAGCTGCCGACAATTTCCAGACCTTACTAACTTGCAATTATCATCCGAACTGCAATCCACTTACACTCGTCAATCGATAATCCCCCCTCCCCTCCCTCCCCCGGAGTCAGCCATCGGTAAATAATTGCACACTACACATGCAAACACATGAACAATCGTGTTGTAGGCCTATTAATAATAATAAGAAAAAACGGTCCCTGTTAAATAGTTGATGTTTCATTCCATGCGCTAAACTTGAGCTTTAAAGGTAATGGCTCTTATTGCATATCCCATATGAGGGCTTACAATTTTAACTAGCTTCGGGCATCGCTCCACTGAGCTGTTTCATAATTTGTGTCCACTGGTGCTTCGTTTTCAACCCTCAAAGTGCAGCTTGCGGTATCTGGCATGGGGGAGGGGAGGGGCACTTAGGGGCATCACTGTCTGGAAGGGGAACCTTGTTCATTTTTTAAAATAAAAAGCCCGCATTGCATTTCCCAAATAATGAGTGGGGAACACAATAGGGGATAGAACACATAGGTCACAGGGAGTGCCTAATTGCCGGTTCTGTTCAGGTCAAGTAAAACATTCATTACGCATGAAGTTTAAGTCGTAGTATCTGGCCGTTTAAGGGACGTTAGTATCTGAGAAAACGGTTTGTTCTCAGCAATAGTCAGGTGTTAACCACCGTTACCTGACACTTGAGAATAGCAGCATACCAGGCTCCATGCTTTCACAGGATATTTCATACTATTATTTACTTACAATCGCCAAGTTGGATATGTCATAATATCTTGGCAGTTTCGTTTTTTTGAGTGTTTGCAAATGCCCTTTAAATTAAGAGCTGACTACAGAGCACGTATATGTGACAATTGTCAACTCGCCAACGCCAATCGATATCACAAACTCGACGGAACGCGGTGACATGATGTTTACTATGTTCAGAGGCGAGGTTGTATCAACATCAGCAAGCACGAGATAAAACAGCTAAGATTAAATACTCAAATCCATTGGAATAGTTTTTGTCATAAGCAGTGACGTAACTGGGGCAATTGCAGAGCACTTTGGTAGGGGACGTCCTCTTTTTCAGGGAGGTCCTCGATTTGAGGAGCTAGGTCCTCATTTTCGGGGGGAAGTACTCATTTTCAGGTGAGGTCTATCAGAAGTTTTTCTTAACACGATTAGAGAAGTAGGCCTAATAGTGGGAATTACACAGGCAGTTCAAAGGCGGAGGTCCTCATTTTCAACGGAGGTAATTTTGTAGGAGGTCCAATTTTTCAGGAGAGATCCTGATTTTTAGGGCAGGTTCTGTTGTTTAGGGGGAGTCCTCATTTTCAAAGTCCAAATTTCACGCAGCATCGGTTCTTACCTGACAAAGTGGTACATTCCACAGCCGTGTAGACCTCGACTTCAACTTCGGCGATCTTCAGCATGGGGTGGATAACTTCACGCAGTAACGGGTCGATGTCCAGGGTGACGTAGCGGGCAAGGTACGGTGCGTCACAGGGGAACTTGCTCACGGTGCCCGGGGCAGACTGCGCGGCTGTGCCCGGTAAGCCGCACGGTTGGTTCTCGTACAAGTTCAGGCTGAGCCCGGCTCGGATTACCGTGCCAGTGAAACACGGCAGGGTGCCTTCACAAACAAATTAATGTTAGAACACAAATAAATTGAATGAATAAATATATATTGACAAAAACCTCATTTGAATTGTATGTGGTTTGCCAAGGTTCACCAAGGGATATGTACACGTAAAGATGTATTGTTCGTACACTTCGACAAATCTGATTTAATTCCCCCAACGAATCTTCAATCTGTATGTTATATATTGCCCCTCCCCCCCAAAAAAAATGGATGGAATTTCCTTTGCATACTATAAAACATTTTTGTACTGATTTTTAAAGACAGTTACAAATAATTCACAGAATGTTCACTCATTCCCATCCCTTTAGCGTGGTGGACCAAATGGGAAATATTAATTGAGCGAGACAAGAACAAGTATTTTTGTGCTCTTACCGCAGTCTGTGTCGCGTATAGTGATGGTCACCCGTCCCAGGCATACCTCCTCTTGGAGGTCAACTCTCAACACAGGATGCGGGTCATCATCTCCTACGGTCCATAGAATAAAAGGTATATGGCACAGATTTCCATCAACATCGTGACTCGGAACCAAACGCATGTTTCATTTTATGCAATGCCTGAATGAATTCCTGTCATCGATAGGCCGTTGATCAAATGTCATTGACTTATTCGAACCAACCCACGGCACAGCCGCACCGAAAAAAAAATTATCAGGGGCGGATCCAGGAAGTTTTGCGGGGGGGGGGGGGGGGGGGGTTAAGGCCTGTCAGATTTTTTTTAAGCCCGATTGTTGCGGACAGGTGGAAAAATTATTTACGTAATGTAGCACTTTGTAACTGATGCACTTATGGTTGTAATCATTTTGTTTTTTGGTGTCAGAGCGAAGGGGGAGGGGGATTCCTTTTCTTTTGAAGCTTGTGAGACAAGTAATTTTTTCTTTTTTAGGAACAGATAATTTCCCCCAAAAAACATTTGGGAGTTTTAAAAGGTTTATATACTACAAATGCAATTCAAATTTTTAGACGATTGTTGAATAATATATGTGTTGAACATGACGACCATAAGTGAAATAAAAAAAAATTGATTTTAATAAAAGAAATTGATTTTAATAAATAAAAATCTAATTTCTTTGATTAAAAAACAATCGAAGGTCCTACCGCTATGGTCGCTTGATCACCGTCGACAGCTTTATCCGCAGTAAATGGGGCGGAATGGGTGGTCCTCAACCATGCCGGCTTATCAATGACAGAAACAGCTGAAAAGAGAGACGAGTGCCATTGAATAACATGGGCGAGGAAAGGGAGTTGCGAAAGATGCTTTTTTTGAATTTGAATTGTGAAGGAATGTTTTGCCTTGAAGATCTTTCAAGAAAAATCAATGAAAAAATTGACGAGTGTGATAATTTAACATGGGGAAGACATTTGCGGAAGACCATCTTTAATTGTGTAAGAAAAACTTTGTCTTGAGGAACCGCAGCTCATAAAGATGAACGAAAAATAAATACAATTGTCTTCATCGTGAATACACGGCCTATAGCACGACCAACTTGCATTGAAGATGCTCCCACCCCACCCCCTCATCCCGACAAAGTTTGCTCGACTAGCGACTACATGGCGGAAGAAAACAATTTCTTGAAAGCATGCACGGTTCTTGAAGTAATGCCATCGTAATTGTAGAATTGTGATTGAGAATAATTATGAGCCGTTTAAAACTGAGTCCTGATGTGATTTATTTAAAAAGTCAAACCCCTTAAAAAAAAAAGAGGTGAAATAGGTGAATTTTTTTTTTTTTAAAGAGGTGAAATACGCGAATTCAAACTAAAACCTTACCTGTTGCTGACACATAGCAAGTTGACAGAACTGCGACACAACAACCCTGATGTTAGCGTTCATTTCGCAGCGAAAAGCTCCACAGAACACAACTTCTGTGGTCCACACTTTTTAATCCAATGTAATACTGCATTTTTTGTTTAATATCCGAACTGCAGCAATCCAATTGCACACGTCGAGTGACTTTGGGAAGGGGGAGGTCCGTAGTTGTGAGGTCCTCGATTTAGGGTCCTCATTTTGTGAAGGGGGGGGGGGGGGGTAGTCTCGGTTCTCGACGCTCCTTGTGTTTTTTATTCAACGAGCGCACAATCAACCCGCCCAAAAACCATTATCACAAACCATCGCTGATAGAGGGCGCTATCACACACAGACCGCTATCAGCCTCGAACCGCTATCACAGGCGGGTTGATTGTACACTCATTGAATAAAAACACAAGGAGCGTCGAGAACCAAGACTGGGTGGGGGGGGGGGGGGGAGTCCCCATTTTGAGGGAGGTCCTCATTTTCGGGGGTATGTAGTCATCGTTTTCTGGGAATGTTATCATGTGTTTTCGAAATCTCTACTTCGCCTTCGGCTTCGGAATAGAAGGCCCCGGCTCTGTGCAGCTCAAACATTGGGACCGTTCTGTTTCAATATCAAATCCTAAATGAAAATGGAGCAAATCTTTGCAGTGTTCCTTTTCAGTCTTTCTTCGAAAGGATTTTGAATCTGAAGCCAAGCCACACACGAAGCCTAGGTTTCAAAAACCCCAAGAATATTTTCATTATTAATGAACGCAACATGAACTCCAAATGAACACAGCTTGTTTTACATTAAGTTTCATTGCTTTATTTTGTTATGTAATAGTTAAACACAGATTTTAATCATTCGGTTTCCTTACTTACAAAAATCATTTGTTTTATTTTCTGGTATATTTTGAGGCATTTTCTTTAAGCTAATACAAGATTTTACCTTAATTACATGTACACACTGTTTGTTAGGTATGTACCGAATAATTGTACCAATTTATAACCCTCTTATTTAAAAAAAAAAAAAATGTGTGTCATTGAGATGAGAAGGAGTGTTTTAAGATTACATGTATAACCAACTGTGTGTTTAGGGGGACTTTTATGGCTGAAACAGTTTGTGAAAATAACAAAACAAAAAACCTGTTCAAAAGAAACAGCTGAAATTGCAACTGAAAATAAAGGCCTGGTTCGACAACTAAGAAAGAGAACTTAAAAATAAATTAATACATAAATAAATATATTTCCCTGACATACATAATTTATTTCCAGCAGGTGGTAAAAAGGAAAAAAATACATTCTGTGAAGGTATGTTATGATGACTAGACTGAAATTCAATAACATAACATGACAAATAAGGAGCTGGACATATTATGAAGCTCACTGGACCATGTGTATTACCGTTTTTAATTTCTATTTAGTTAATTTTTTCTTTTACGAATGCGTATTATGTATGGAACATGAAACATAGGCCTACGCCTTCTAGTCACGGTTTCCTGGCATTGATACACACTATCATTGGGTTGGAATTGTGCAACCTTTCCGAGTGCAGACGAGCAAATAACTTATAAATGCCACAATTCGAACAACTCGATAGAAGAAAAAACCAACGAACTCATTCTCCGAGATGTTCAAGTCATACATCAAATTAAATCTTGCTTCACCCGCTCATACTTGGGGGGGGGGGGGGGGGGGGTTTAACTGATACTTTTTCGGTGATTAGTCCTGAAAAGTAAAATAATCATTCAAAAAGGAAAGAGAAAATTCATTTGGAATTGGAGGCTTAAAGACTAAATCCTTATATCGAGTCCGGGCTTTTTAATGGAATGGACTCGGTATACATTGTGCAACCTGACTCTGGTATGATGGGGAGTCAGGTTGGCGTAGCGGTACTTTCCTCGCCTTCCACCGCTGTGACCCGGGTTCGAATCCCGCCTAGGCCTACATGTGGATTTGGTTTTCAGTCCCTACCTGATTCCGTGGTTTTTCCCCCAGAATATTCTCCTGGGCTTTTCCTCCCACATCTAAATCTGAAATTTCACATTGTCTTCTCTAATACTGGGCCCCAGGGAAGACCAGTGGATTCCACTGAATGGACTAAAATATGAACTAAGAAACTAGAACGATGCAATGATAACTAAGGTGTGTACTAACGTCAGGAAATCCTTCAGAGTTCGGAAATATTCCAAGGTTATACTGTGTATATTTTGTGTATGCTACAATACATGAAAGGAACAACAGGTGGAGGAGTGGCCGGTTTTGTTTGTTTTGAGGACGATAATCGGTGGGAAATTTTCCAAAGTTGTGAGTCAAGTTACAAGTGAAATTAAGTTACAAGTTAAGTAACAGATGAATAATGACACTACAGGGATGCATTTCCTGTAGTTTCTTGAAATAGCTAGTTACATTTGAGACTGATTTGTGATCGTCTTGAAAACAAGTAACTCTGGAAGACAAACAAAAACACTTCAAGTCCCTCTTCCACTAGCGCTCGGACAAAGACCCACCCCCTGCATAAAACAATCGGGAATTTTGCATACTGAGCCCCGCCCCTTTTTTTGCATAGATAATGAGGAGCTGCATAGATAGTTAAATACTGTTGATAAATAAAAAAAAATCCTTTGGTGGTAATTTTCTTTCTACAGTATCGGCAAACTAGTCTAAAAACTATTATTATTTTTTTTTCTTTCTAAATCTACAATTCTACACTACTTTTAAGGTAATGGTTTTTCTTCTTTTTCTATAGCTAACTAGACAACTCTACTCTACAAGTACATTAAAAAGTGCATGGTTGATTCTGCTATCAAAATTTTCCCATTTTTGTTCTGCTTTCTTACACAATTTTCGACAGGATGGAATAGATGTTTTCAATTTGTAATGCTAAAATCGACCAGGATAAACCTTTAATATACTCATTATGATTTACAATTGATTTTTTTCCTGTAATTCGAGTATAAAACAATAAATCATAGTTTTAATTTCACATTAATCACACACGTTATATATACATAAATGAATTTATTATGTATGTACTACATTTTTCTTTTGCTGTATACCAAGGCACATTATAGTTTTGTGGTCAATAGACCATGCTGTGTGGCTGCTTTGCCTCAATGTGCGCACCCCTTTAAAACTTCGGCCAGCCTCTCATGAAATGCTAGACAGTTATCTCATTAAAGGGGACCACATTCTCCTGACTACATTCACACAGCAAGGTCTACGACTGACAAGTATCTGCTCATTCCTCATTGCACATCATCTCAACATCATTCGAGTCCCAACAACACAATTTTTCAATACATACACCGATTGGTTGTCTTAATCAGCATCAATCACATATCAATTTTATGTACAGTGGAAGTTGCTATAATTATATGATGTTAAAGGTGTCTACCCTATTTGGGGAGTAAATGTAATAGTAGGCCTATATGGAGGCTATGCAACTTTTTTTTCAATTGGAGCAGAAGT